TTATTGTAGCCAAAATAAAACAAATAAGACTTTGTCCAGAAGAAAAAATAATATAGGAAATACTGTGCGGTTAAACATCATTTGGGATGTTAAACAAATATTTGAAGAAAAAAAAAAAAAAATCACAAGATAAGCTAATAATTTACTTTAACTGCACATTCTTTACTGAAATAAGCATGGTTTGTAATTAAAGTGCTCACTGAGGTTGTGCAGCACGCGGTCTCTCTCCAGCTGGGTGTCTCTGATCTTGTTCTGCAGCAGGATCAGCTTCTCCTCATACTGACTCTTGAGCGTCAGCAGCCGCCGTTGGCTGTTCTCCAGCTCATCGATGAGTCTCTGCTTGATCTCGATCTCGCACGTCAGGTCCGCCAGATCTGCCTGCAGGTTCACTGAGAGAGAGAGGTCAACAGGTCAGTGAGTGCGTTCACATGGACACCAATACTCAAGACGAGACTTTAATAAAGCAATTTTTGACTACCTTAAATCTAACTAAAGTCATAATCCAACTAAACAAATGGAATCAAGACATGTGGAGTATTCCTGTTTAAGTGGCATTATTGAAAGGCAGTACAGACATGTAAACACTGCAATCAAACTATTACTATTAATTAACTTAAAAAACGAATCGCTCCCCAAAACCACACATGCAGCCGCGAAGAACGCAAGCTGTTGTTGCGTGAAATGCCGGAGGAATCTAGCATCGAATGCAGACGCAAAGTTCAGATTCAGGCAAATCATTAGATTACTGATGTTCATGTAAACGTGGTCAGGGTCACTCATAGAGGTCACTATGTGTGTGTGTGTGTGTGTGTGTGTGTGTGTGTGTGTGTGTGTGTGTGTGTGTGTGTGATGAGTGTATCCTAGAATGCACCTTTCTCATCGTTGTCAGAGTCCGAATCCACCAAGCTCTCGTCGCTGTCGAACTCTTCCTCCTCCCTGGTTTCCTCTTCCTCTTCCTCTTCTTCATCGCAGCCGCTCTCACCGTGATCATCCTCCTGCAGTGGATACATGCCATCCTGAAGAAGAGCAAACAGAGAATCACATCTCAAATGTAGAAGATGATGATAATAATAATAATAATAATAATAATAATAATAATAATATCATTAATTTATAATTTACATTAATATGTTAATTCAAAACATACAAAATAAATGAATAAAATCGTTACAAATAAACAAATAAATAAAATAAACAAAAGATATTTTATTAAAATAAAACATATATAAATATAAATAAATTAAAATACAAAAATTTAAATGCAAATAAATAATAAAAAACGTGCAAATTAATAGATTTTTTGATTAATTCGTTAATTAAAGACAAGTAAATAAATAAAAATAAATAAATAAATAAAAATCAATCAATAAATACAAATAAAGAATTACAGATATTTTAAATAATATTAATTAATAAATATTTTGTGAAGCCGTATTAAAAAAAATATTTAAAATATTCTTCCAAAATAACAGTATTATGCTTAAATATAGGGCTATAAGAAGTTTTTTTTCTTAAAATTTTTTGAAATATTAAAACCTTACATTTGTAAAAAATAAATAATAAATAAATAAAATAAACAAAATATATTAATATTAAATAAAATACAAAATATATAAATATATATGCATTAAAATACCAATACGCATAAATAATTAAAATTGTGTAAATTGATTAATTGATTGATTAATTAAATTAAATAATTAATTAAAGACATGTAAATTAATAAAAATAAATAAATATTTAAAAATAAAATTTAAATATAAAAATATATAATTATAAATAGATAAAATAGATGAATAAATACAGTTAAATTACAAATAGTAAAAATCAATTATTAATAAATAATTATTAATAAATATTTTGCTAAGCCTTAATAAAAAATGTTAAAAACATTATTATATCATGCTTAAATATAGGAGTGGATGTAGTGTTTTTTCTTTACAGTTTTAAGAATATTACAACCTTACATTCTTAATATATACAATCATATAACGACATACAAATAAATAAATAAAAATGAGTAAATTAATTGATTAATTCATTCATTAAAGGCAAGTAAAGAAATGAAAAATAAAATTAATAATTAAAAACAATCTAAAAATGTATAAATAAAAACAAATAAAGAATTAGAAATAATATTAATTACAAAAAAATAACTATTATTAATATTTTACTAAGCCTCAAAATAAAATATTAAAAACCTTATCATTCCTAAATTACAATATTACGCTCAAATATAAGACTGTGCAGTTTTTTTTTTTAATTTTGAAATATTACAACCTTAACAACATTCTTAAAACATTGTCACTACATAGTTTGTTTTTCTTGTAAAACATACTCTAATATTAATTTTTCCCTGAGCCATTTAAACTTTTTATTATTCCAGTGTATTAATAATTACATTAAATCCACAAAACACTGACAATGAAACACAGAATAATCTCTCACCTCTTCAGGCTCATTATCAGAGTCTCCATCTCCATTTTCTCGTCTCTCTTCATTCGCTCGGTTCAGCCCGTTCTCACTCTTCACTCCGCTATCCTCGGGATGAAGTTTGGCTCTCTTCTTCAAACCCTTCTCTTTCTCTGGACTAAAACAGACAATAAATCAGAAGACAGAATCAATACACAATTCATCACCCAGAAACCTGCACACACACAAACAAACAAAAACAAAACAAGACACTGGCTCATAATTCTGACAACGTCTGATGCAAAAACCTCATTTAATAGTCACATAATGGCACTTCAGGGAGAGATTAACCCTTTTGCGGGTCAGCAGAGAATTCTAGTAGCAATTGGGATCACAAATGAGCCCTGGCCTTTCTCCCATTAGAGCCAATCTGCAGAGTGAGACACTCCTGAAGTCATATTCATAATTACAGACCATTCGCTGAGAGACGCTTGTATCTGTGCCAGCTCAGACTGGCACAAACACACAGATAAATCTAAAGTCTGGCACGTTTTACTGCCACTTATTGGCTCAGTAGTATAAAACCGAAGAGGACGAGCATAATAAAGTCATCCAAACGCACAAACGGGACAGCAGGTTGTCAAACCTCTGCTATAATCATGAACAAAGTGCCAGATGTCCGAGACGTCCCGCAGCAGGAATTCTTGTTCAACATCATATTCATAATCAATAATTAATGCACAATTGCTGTGAATATTGCAGTCATGACACTTCAGACATGATATTAAAGGCTCTGATGCAGTTCAAATGTAGTCCTCAACCCCCAAACATTGTCAAAGGATTAAAGACGCCCTATTTTTTTGGTTGAATGATATCTAATGCTAAAATAAAAATGCCACGTTTTACACTGCTGTCTGAAATACAGTGCAATGTTCAGACTGATCGATCAGAATCAAGTATGTTATTCCCAGATAACAACCGATAAATAAAGCAAGCTGATTTGGGACATTTACATGTTTCTGTCTCATTTTTGACTGCTTGGCGCCATCTTGTGATTTAATAATACACAGGTTAGTGTATACTCCATTCAGCTGCTATTGTTTCTGTCAGCTTTGTGTTTTTGGCTGTTTGGCGCCATCTTGTGTCTGAATAATGCGCAGGTTAGTGTATACTCCATCAGCTGTTTTAGTTTCTGTCAGGTTTGTGTTTTTGGCTGACTGTTTGGCGCCATCTTGTGTCTGAATAATGCACAGGTTAGTGTATACTCCATCAGCTGTTTTAGTTTCTGTCAGGTTTGTGTTTTTGACTGGTTGGCGCCATCTTGTGTCTGAATACTGTACAGGTTAGTGTATACTCCATCAGCTGTTTTAATTTCTGTCAGCTTTGTGTTTTTGACTGTTTGGCACCATCTTGTGTCTGATTAATGCGCAGGTTAGTGTATACTCCATCAGCTGCTTTCATTTCTGCATTTCTTTGCATTTAATTAATTAATTAATAAACTATTACGGCTTGGAACAATGTATTATGTCTAATATTTATGCCTTGTGGCAAGTAGCCATGTAAAAAGTTGGATAAAGTAGATCCAGGATGTTTGTTTTTGAAAATAAAGCCCTAAAAAAAAAACTAAATTCCATAAAAGAGCCATTTATTTGTATATGCTAATTATGAGCGATTTAAGTGTTTATAATTGGTTACTTTACAAAACTTTATCTGCCATCTGAAATTTTCAGCAAAAATGAGCATTTTTCTCAGGCTGTTGTATGTAGTTTTAGTAATTTCACTCTTAGTTCAAAGTTTTCATTGCCTTTAAAGTGAAATAACTGAACATAAACATACAAGGTTAAAAAGGCAAACTTTAGAGGAGATTTTGAGATTGCACTTAGAGGTTTTTGCATCTGAACTCTTTATATATACATCATCTACAGTATATACTATATTACTGCAGGTTAACTATGTTTATATACAATAACTTTAACTATTAAAAGCTATTAGTTACTAATTAATTAGTTAAAGTTAATAGTAACTAATAAAGTTATTCCGAATGTGATTGTAATGCAATAATGTGCACCTTTAGTAAAGCTGCTTCGAAATAATAATTAACGTGAAAAGCGTTATAAACTTGAGTGGATTGAATATTTTACAGCACTGTTCATCAACTTAGGCTGCGCTTCAGACCTCACCTCTTCCTCCTCTGATTCCTCTCTTTCTTCTTCAGCCGCTCCACATCTAATTTGGCCTGGCGAATCACATCGGTCATCTCCGCCTCCATGGAAACAGAGGGGGAGGAGCCAATGGATGGAGCAGATGGGTGGGATGCGGGATACGGAGAGCGGGACGACAGATGAGACAAACTGCGCCTCAGAGACTCGTTCATGGCTTCACTTTCCAGCAGCTTAGACCTGTCAGAGAGCAAGAGTTCAGTCATCGGCTATTAAAGAAATACCAGCTATTTTTAAAATGTGTTTATCTAATTACAATTCATTATTTCTATTATACATTTTCAAGTAGGGGTCAGAGTGTACGTAAATTTCGACGTTCTCTCTTCTGATTGCCGTTATCAGTCTCACACAATTATTTTGGCCTTTTTCTGAAAGTCTTGATAACACCATTGTGATGTTAATCTTTTGTTATTTCAGCAAATAGGATCGTAAAAACAATCTGCTGTACTCTCCCTTTCACGGAGCTCTGTTTACCCAACTATGACGACTTCCGCTACTGAGAAACCCGGATATCTGTAAAGGGTTCATGACCTAATGTAAATTTCTGATTTGTTTTTGCACTAAAAATGAAATAAATAAATAAAGAATACCAGCACAAGTACATCAGTTCTATGTGCAAGTATCAGAGTATCACGTTACCTCAGCTCTTCAATTTCCCGAATGTAGTTCTGGATGAGATTGCCAATCTCTTCATTTGTCTCTCCTGCAGACAGAGTGATTAGATTAATTTAGAAATTGAAGCGATGTGAAGAGATGATGCCGACTATCGAAGACTTCAAGGACAACACACACATTATTACACTTAATTGAACATGTACACATAGACATCATCTATATACTATATAACTGCAGGTTAATGTTAGCCCCTTTCACACAGTGATACCGGTAAATACCTGAAAAATTTCCAGGAAAAACTTTACCGGTAGATTCAAAAAAGCGCTGTTCACACAGGCGAGGACATTACGAAATTTTTCTGGAAAAGAGCATTCACACATCCATTCCAAAATAGCGGCCAATTCTGACATCATTAACAAGAATTGAGCTCTAAACGGCTGCGCTTGTATTTGTAAACATTTGACTGCATTACAAACTCTGTGGATGATCAATATTGTGAACAACTTTGATGAAAATATAAAGGAACACTTTCACATGTCAAGATGTACATGATATATGTGTGTATATGTGTGTGTGTGTGTGTGTGTGTGTGTGTGTGTGTGTGTGTGTGTGTGTGTGTGTGTTTGTGTTGGTGCTCACGGGCTGCTTCACGGGCACACGCGACCTGTCAAGCAACTGATGGATGCAGATCTTATAGATAAACAAACAACGACTTATCATAAGCATCCAATCGATATTTATTTACACAGTTAGCATTAAGAAGAAACCTATAAACGTTATATGACTAACATCCAGCCACTAAATGTGTCTGGAAAAATATTTAAAGAAAATGTTATTTTCATAAACTGCGCGGACGTGAATGCGTCTGGCTGTACTGATTGGCTAAAGTAGACGTTTCACGTCAGCGCGTTCTAGACGTAAACACGGTCTTTCCGGCAATCTTCCTTCTGCGTTCACACGGCGCAGCATTTCGGCAAATTACCAGTAGTGTTACGACTTCTCTTTCCGGGAAAAATAGCTGGAATGAATTTACCGGTATTTTCAAAAAGGGCCTGTTCACACATACAGACCTTTTCGTCAAATTGCTGGTAAAAGGAGCTTATTTTTATATATAATAACTTTAACTGTTAAAAGCTATTAGCAACTCAGTTGAAGTTATTAGTAACTAATAAAGTTATGGTAACTAATAACTTTTTTAGAATTTGATGTAATGCAATAATGTGCACCTTTTGTAAATCTGCTTTAAAACAATAGTTTATTGTGAATAATATTGCACTCATGTACATTATTGAAATAATTGTATGAACGTACATAATGTATTTTGTGATGCCACAAAACAAATTATGGAACATATTAAAAATATTAAATATTATTAAACATGAAAAAAAAAATTTTAAATATACAAAATTCAATTGAAATTTTGTAATCTGTCATTATTTTTTTCCAATAACTCATTTGAATTAAAACGCATCATCTTTCTATTCATGATTCATGAAGATTTTTGGTGACCATCTCTTATTTTAATAAATAGAAGCATTTAATAGCCCTGTTTTCTTTAAATGCACTAAACATTATTAGCTATATTCGCTTAGAAATGGATAAAAATAATAATTTTTAAAAGGGGATGTGCTCATTTATGCTAAGTGTGCACTGTGTATCGTCTTATTGTACAGCCCTAATCCATATCAACTGATAAAAACATTTCATTTCAGATTTACTGATTTTTTTGGCACAAATCACAAGTCCTGAGGCTCTCTCACCGGTCTTTGTGAGCAGCAGGTTGACTCCGTTTGTTAGCAGTTGCGTGACGCGAGTATTGAGATGGTCGATGGTTTCCTGCATGGCTTTAACTCGCATTCGAAGAGTGTCATTCTCTCTCTGGAGCATCGAGTTCTCCTGAAACAAATCGCTAAAACCTTCTGATCCCTCGTCACAGGCCACTCGCTTTCCCTGAAAGAAACCCAGAGAAAAAACGCTGTGAGACAGAAAGAAAATCATGGACGCTGGGCTTCACTACCAACAGGTACAGTGAGGGGAAACAAGTTTTGAACACCTTATCATGTTTTTTCCTGGGAATAATATTTGTAAAGGAGCTGTTGACATGGAGTTGAAGGAGATTTTGGTAAAAACCCAAACAATACAAAACATAAAAAGTAAAACAAAACAATCTGAAAAAATGAGTTCTGTGTAACGACAATGAATGAAACAAGAAAAAAGTGCGGCACTACTGAAACTATTTTGTATTCTCTATTGGATTCTCAGGTAATTGACTGGGCCATTCTACTGCTTGATTTTCTTTATCTGAAAGCATTTGAGAGTCTCCTTGGCTGTGTTTTTGTTATATACATATATATATATATATATATATATATATATATATATATATATATATATTCTCGAATCTGATTGGCTTATAGCTGTGATATATTTAAGTATTATCAGCACCCGTACAGCCTCTTTACCCTTTGTGTATTACTCCGCCCACATACAGCCAGCCACAAGTAGACTCTACAGATCTAAAGTGTCGTTAGAATCTTTAAAAGATGCTTGCTCAGCTGTTTAACTGTCAGCTTATGATTTGAATCCAACACGGAAGAAAGTAGTTCCTCATACAAAAGGATTTTTGAGACTCTCCATGTTTGATTTTGTTTTCAATTACACAATTATGCTGTCAAACTGTTGTATAAACGCAATATTACACAGGTAGCAGTGTGATATGGCTGTATATCGGCACTGGTTTGGCACAACATTGCTACGTGTGTAATATTGCTCATGGATGGATGGATGGATGGATGGATGGATGGATAGATGGATAGATAGATAGATAGATAGATAGATAGATAGATAGATAGATAGATAGATAGATAGATAGATAGATAGATAGATAGATAGATAGATAGATAGATAGATAGATAGATAGATAGATAGATAGATAGATAGATAGATGATTGATAGATAGATGAACAAAACATTTTATATTATGGATGCTATTTAACGGCAGCTTTGATTGTGTGATGCTAATTGTGCACTCCTCCTCCTCCTCACCGCTTTATACTCCATGATCTCCATCTGTAGTCGTGCGATCTCGGCTCGTAACGCGCTGATCTGCTGGCTGGTTTTATCCTGGTTGACGATCACCTTGTTCTTGATGTTGCGGGCCCGGTTGGCATACTTCAGCGTGTTCAGGGTCTCCATGAAGTCGCGATCAGACGGGCTCACGCAGGCAATCATCACAGTCCGACTAGATAAACACACAAAGCGAGAAGACATTCAGAAGAGATCAAAACAGATAAACACAACCACACACATGGTGCCCGCATAGTTTCATGGTTACGCGACGGAATCCGTTTAAAGCAGCGCCACTGTCTGCAGCCGCTCATGTTTAATTCAATCAACTCCCCCTCTGAACCCACATCAGGAGGATATATGGGTTGTCTGTGTCGTCCCGTGTGGGCTGAGTGACCCTCTGATATACACTGTGTACATGCATTAACCTTCAGCGCACAACAACTGCAGTGTGCACTAGAGAGGGACCAAGCAGACCGGCTGACTCCAGAAGAAAAGTTTTTTTGCATGGAGTTTTGCATGGAGGATAAATGAATGCATATGGGTAGTTGACATTACATGTAGTCATTTAGTCGACCATTTTGTCCAATTGAGGAGGCATCAATAATTCAACAACAAGAGCTAATTATATTATTAGGAACTGTAGGTGTTTAGAGAATAAAGTGTTTCTACAGGTGGTTTGTCAAGCCCACTCACCTGTGTGAGGCACACTTCAGAAATGCACAATAGTCGCTTTCCACTGTCGGGCCAGTGCTGGTTTACATTGTGCCAGGCCAATAGCCCAAGAGCTTGAGTAGTAACCCTGCTGAAAAAACCAGCTTAAACCAGCCTAAGCTGCTTGGCTGGTTTTAGCTGGTTGACCAGCCTGGTTTTAGAGGGGTTTTAGCCACTTCCAGGCTGGTTTCCGGCCATTTCCAGCCCGGTCTTAGCTGGTCAGGCTGGAAAATGACCAGCTAAATCTAGCTAAAACCAGCTTGACCAGCCTGCTTTTAGCTGGATATAGCTGGTTTTGGCTGGGCTCCCAGCCTAACTAGGCTGATCTAGCTGGTTTTAACTGGTGATCTCCCAGCCTGACTAGCTAAGACCAGGCTGGAAATAGCTGAAAACCAGCCTGGAAGTGGCCAAAAGCCCTCTAAAACCAGTCTGGTCAACAAGCTAAAACCACCCAACCAGCCTAGGCTGGTTTAAGCTGTTTTTTTAGTAGGGTTATGTTTAGAAATGTGTTAAAGCTGTTTTTTTCAGTAGAAAAGGTTGATATCATGTTGGTTTCCACTGTCGAGCCAATAGCTCGCAGTGCAGCACCCAAACCCCGCCCCAGAATCAACCATCACATAACCCACCTAGTTAAGTGTGTGGAAGTAAGTCAAATCAGAATCATGCAGATAAAGCACAACATCATTATCATTTGGAAACATTCAACATGGAGACAACTGAATGTACACGTTACTGTATAGCATTAAATGATGTTTATAGTACATATGCACTTTTAAGAATTATTTGTTTACCTTACTAAACGATGACCCAGTACACAACCCATGATATAAAACCACGATACTCCAAAACACAAGGGCGATCTTAAGCGAAAATGACTCCTATAAGGTGTTTTATAAATGCAATATTTTAAACTAACTAGTAGCTACAGTGCATCTGGAAAGTATTCACAGCGCTTCACTTTTTCCACATTTGTTTATGTTACAGCTTTATTCCAAAATGGATTAAATTCATTTATTTCTTTAACACACACACACACACACACACACACACACACACACACACACACACACACACACACACATATATATATATATATATATATATGTATGTATGTCTATATATATAAATATACATATATATGTATGTAAGTATGTATGTATGTATGTATGTATGTATGTATATATATATGTGTGTGTGTGTGTATATATGTATATATTTTTTACAAAAAAATAAATCTTTATAATATTACCTGTTCATGGGCAATAATGTAGGCTTAGCAGTGTCTTTACATATAACAATAACTAAGATGTCTTGTAAAAGGTGTGGTAGAGTAATTATATTTATCATATTCTAAAATAACAGTGGTTGAAGGGAACAAAAAAGTCCAACAAAGCTACTGTCTGCGCAACCTGAAAAACCTGAAACATATCTTCATAATAACAATCTACCCCAAATTTTCAAGAGTTAAAGCTGGGGTTAATCTTTTGTAACAATTATTAGCTTATTTTAAGAACAATAGAGCTGAAAGGGAGTTACCTACTCTACAAAAACCAGTGTGTGAGTGTGTCACATTTACTGCATACACACTGACACACTCAATAGTGTAGATCTGGTGTGTGTTCCTTCTTTTTTTCCCTATCTCAGTTAGTTTAAACAAAAATACTCAATTACTGTCCAACACTGACTTTAAAGGATACTAGTAAACTTAAAACAGATCTAGTCAAATATTATGTGCTGTTATCATGGCAAAGATAAAAGAAATCAGCGACTATAAATGAGTTATTAAGACTATTCCCTACTGAAAAACAGCATAAACCAGCCTAAGCTGCTTGGCTGGTTTTAGCTGGTTGACCAGCCTGGTTTAAGCTGGATATAGCTGGTTTTGTCTGGGCTCCAAGCCTGACTAGGCTGGTCAAGGCTGGTTTTAGCTGGTAATTTTCCAGCTTGACCATCTAAGACCAGGCTGGATATGGCAGGAAACCAGCCTGGAAGTGGCTAAAACCCCTCTAAAACCAGGCTGGTCAACCAGCGAAAACCAGCCAACCAGCCTAGGCTGGTTTAAGCTGTTTTTTCAGTAGAGTTATGTTTAGAAATGCATTCTAAATATCTTCTTTGTGTTAAACAGAAATTAGGGGAAACAATATATACAGGGGGGCTAATAATTCTGACTTCAACTGTACATGCACCCATTACCTGTTTCCTCCCAGTGAGTCCTGCAGCAGGCGGGTGAGTTTGGAGTCTCTGTAAGGCACATGTCCAGCCCTCTTACTCTGATCCCCCAGAGCACTAATCACGTTACCCAGAGCCAGCTGCCAAACACACAAAAACACAGAGAGAGAGACATGGTCACGCTCCATCGCATGCTGCCATCTATGAGTAAAAGCTTTTAAATGGGCTTCTTAAAACAAGTATGTGGGCTCTGAAAACAATAGATCTCAAACAATGGCTCTTCTTGGCTTTCCTCCAGCTCTTCTTCACGACTCGCTGTAATTACCTTTACTTCCCATCATGCTCTGACAGCTTTACCCAGCACAGACCATAAGAGAGCAGTAATGAATCTCAAACTAATGCGCTACCGATATTACAGCGGAAAAAATACGACTCAGCTAAACGGCCTTTAACAATTATGATAATGAGTTTTTTCCTTCTTTAAATATTCCTGACATAGCCAGTTTTACAGGGTTGATTTTGTGCTTATTTATTTAACCATGGTTTAAAGGGACTGATCTCTTGATTATGATTCAGTCATGATCTACTTTCATATTGGTATATTTTGTGAGCTATTTTGTGTACATACACAGACTGGAATGGCAAAGAAAGCGTTCTTGCAGGACTCCCAGAGTTCATCAAGATTGAAGAAGACAGACATGCTCAATAATGCTCATATCTGATGACTGGGCTGGCCAATCTTAGAGCAGCCTGACCTCCTTTGCTTTCAGGAACTGATGTGGAGGCTGAAGTATGAGAAGGAGCGCTTTCCTGCTGGAGAATTGTCCCTCTCCTGTGGTTTGTAATGTAATGGGCAGCACAAATGTCTTGATACCTCAGGCTGTTGATGTTGATCATCCACTCTGCAGATCTCTCCATACTGAATGTAACCCCAAACCATGACTTCTCCTTCACCAAGCTTGACTGATTTCTGTGAGAACCACCAACTTATCCAGAATATGTTTTACACAGTGGATGCCCTTGCAGATGCAACCTAGTACTGGGAAATACCCATACACACCCATACACACGCATACACTACGGCCAATTTAGCTCATTGAATTCACCTATAGCGCATGTGTTTGGACTGCGGGGGAAAGCCGAAGGAAAATCAAATGAATGAATGTGTCATACCAGTCCACAGTTGATGGAGATGCCCTCCCGTGCGCGCTCTCCTGTGGCTCCGGTGCGTTTGAGACGCTCTGATCCCGCCAGATCCACAAAGTGAAACTTGGCAGAGAGCGTCTCGTATTCGGACTGAGACATGGAGCCGTCAGAGACTCCATTCAGCTCTCCGTTCACCTGGAGGAGCAGAGAGAAGCCCTGTAATTCACCATTACCACAAAAAAACATCACATCATTATCAATAATAAAGGGACACAAACTAATATACAATTTCTGTTTTATGGAGAGCAGATTTTTTCAGCACATTTTTAAACATAATAGTTTGTTCTATAGACTAGTGGTTCTCAAACTGTGGTACGTGTACTACTAGTGGTATACAGCAGTGGTCACCAAACTTGTTCCTGGAGGGCCGGTGTCCTGCAGATTTTAGCTCCAACCCTAATCAAACACACCTGAACAAGCTAATCAAGGTCTTGCTAGGTATCCTTGAAACATCCAGGCAGGTGTCTTGAGGAAAGTTGCAGCTAAAGCCTGCAGGGGCACCGGCCCTCCAGGACCGAGATTGGTGACCCCTGGTATACAGGCTTCCTTCTAGTGGTACATGGAGGAATTGCTGAATAGTTCAAGTAAAACAATGAACACACTTTTAATCCTTTGACGTGTGTGATAACAACAAAGTGATCAGGAAATAGATTTTAATAGGCTAAACCTTTTATTTTATTTCCAATCTTCTAATGTTTTCCATGTCTTCTAACCTTTGAAGCTAATTTCTCCCCATGTTTGGAACGGCTGTTGGAGGCGTATCCTGTGTTTTTTAAATCCCAATGTTGACAGGTATAGTTAAATTACTTGGTTTTCTGACACACATAGCCTACTCCAGGGGTCACCAACATGGTGCCCACGGGCACCAGGTAGCCCACGAGGATTACATGAGCTGCCCACAGGCCTGATCTAAAAATAGCTCACCATTGCACCACATACCAGTAAGCTGAATCTAGTATTTTTTGAAGCTATTCTTTCACACCTGCATTGGTGTAAAATTTGTTAACGACATTAAGGTGTATATATAAAAAAACTAAAACTATTTCAGACAAATAAAGTGTTGCATATTGATATTTCTGTTTCTTACCTTGCTAAATCATTGTTGAGGACTATTGTGAGAAATCATTACCACGGTCAGTGTCTCTTCGCATAGATGAATATCATTAATCATTAATAATAACAACATATGATGAAAAGTAAATTAAGAAAAAATGTTATTTAAGAAGTGTGTATCAAACTGGTAGCCCTTCACAATAATTGGTCCCCAAGAAGTAGCACTCAGTTTCAAAAAGGTTGGTGACCCCTGGCCTACTCTAACGCGCGGTGAGCAGATCTAATTTCTATATTAGGTATGTAAATCCAAATTGTATATTTAAAATACAAGTTAATGTTTAGATTTCAAAGATATACAAATAAGTCATATATACAAGCAATATACAGTTGAAGTCAGAATTATTAGCCCCCTTGAATAATAAGCCTCCGTTTAATTATTTCCCCAATTTCTCTTTAACAAAGAGCAGATTTCTCAACACATTTCTAATCATAATAGTTTTAATAACTCGTTTTTAATAACTGATTTATTTTATATTTGCCATGATGACAGTAAATAATATTTGACTAGATATCCTTCAAGACACTTCTATACAGCTTAAAGTGACTTTTAAAGGCTTAACTAGGTTAATTAGGTTAACTAGGCAGGTTAGGGTAATTAGGCAAGGTATTGCATAACGGTGGTTTGTTCTGTAGACATTCGAAAAAAATATATAGCTTAAAGGGGCTAATAATTTTGTCCCTAAAATGTTTTTTAAAAATTAAAAACTGCTTTTATTCTAGCCGAAATAAAACAAATAAGCCTTTCCTTAGAAGAAAAAATATTATCAGACATACTGTGAAAATGTCCTTGCTCTGTTAAACATCATTTAGGAAATATTTAAAAAAGAAAAAAATTCAAAGGGGGGTTAATAATTCTGACTTCAACCGTATATTCCAAAATACATCAAAAAGAATTTATATATGAATATGATGACATATAGCCCATATTTATGAGGTCCAAGGAACATTTCCAGGTTTTGATGAATAGGCTACCTTATGATTATTCTTTACATTTAAGTACAGCAGTTTTCTTTTTCCTTTTAAGATCAGTGCCATTTTTAATTAACTTTAAAAAGCACATTTTATTTTGAATGCCATGTTTGTTTATATATAATTTTTTCCAATAAGCACAGTACAGTGTTATCTATTTACAGTATAATGTTTAAAGTGGCTGACAATAATAAATATTCATAATAATAGGAATTGATCTGCCTCGTTTTTGAACTGTGCAAAGCTGTGGCTGCTTAATTAGGCCCACTACGCTACTGTATTTCAATACCAGTCATTACGCCCCATTCACATGGGGCTTCAGCGTCAACGCTTGACCGAAGGTGTGTCTGAAGTTGGGGCTGAAGCGATCGTCATAGCAGCGTCAGCCAATAAAATTCAGTCAGCAATAGGCCACTGTCTAGCTGGTGTATTTGCATACAGCGATCTGATTGGCTGACGCTTCCATCGGGGCTTGAAAAGTTGAGCTAGTCCCAACTAGCGCAGAGCAACGTCTCTGAAGCGGCGCCGACGGATCCACGATGCAGTTCGGCAATGCCTGACGTCACCCATTCAAGGTGAATGGGAAGCGTTGACGCTGACGCCCCGTGTGAATGGGGCGTTATGGTGGTACATGGAGAGACTATTTTTTTCTGAAGTGGTACTTGATGAAAAAAGTTTGAGAACCACTGCTGTAGACAATCAAAATCAAATATTGCCTAAGGGGGCTAATAATATTGACCTTAAATTGTTTTGTTTTTTATTAAAAACTGCTTTTATTCTAGCTGAAATAAAACAAATCAGACTTTCTGCAGAAGAAAAAATATTATAGGAAATACTGTGAAAAATTCCTTAATCTGTTAAACATCATTTGGGAAATATTTGAAAATATGATTAAATTCACAGGAGGTCGAAACATTTAACTCTATTGCATGGTCTAATTTAATAACAACAATGATTTTTCAGTACATTGTGAAGCTCTAAATTAGAGTCACAAATGAAGTGTGATGCGTCGAGTTTCAGTGTGCTCTGGCATGTTCACTGACATTTATAATTCCTGTGGTTTAACATAATGACTTTCGTTTATACAGCAGCGGCGCTCTGAATTTTAATGCTTTAAAACATTCGACCTGCTCAAACTTGCTGATGTCTCTGTGATGCAGGAGCGTATGTTAATGTTAAGATGTTGGCCTTGTTTTTGTACCAGTTGTGGCTGTGGGCAGACTCTCATCTGGCAGAGGTGGATGGTGAAGATGGCGTGCGAACGGGAGCTCTGGGCGTTCATCTGTGTGCTGGCGGTGGTGCGGGAGAGAGCGCCCAGCTTTAGACACTGCAGGAGCTGAACATACACACACACACACAAATGCAGCGTGAATAACACTGCCACTGAATACACTAGTCAACAAGCGAAGTGAGTAAAAATGGTTTGGGCTGCTTGATTGAATGTGATGATATGGAGGCAGATCGATCTCAAAAGTAAAACACTAACAAAAAGAATTCATACACAATTCACATCTACAACACTGAATTTGTAAATTGAACACACAACGCAAATTTACTAAACACGATTCGCAAATTTAAAGCGATTCATAAATATACAAAACACAATTCATTCATTCATTCATTCATTCATTCATTTTTCTTGTCGGCTTAGTCACTTTATTAATCCGGGGTCGCCACAGCGGAATGAACCGCCAACTTATCCAGCACATTTTTACGCAGCGGATGCCCTTTCAGTCGCAACCCATCTCTGGGAAACATCCACACACACATACACACTCATATACTACGGACAATTTAGCCTACCCAATTTACCTGTACCGCATATCTTTGGACTGTGGGGGAAACCGGAGCATCCAGAGGAAACGCTCCCTCGCTAACGCAGGGAGAACATGCAAACTCCACACATGCAGCTCATAACCGAAAGGACAAGATCTCGGATACAAACTGAAATAAAAATGAATTTCTTCGCAGGGTGGCAGGGCGCACCCTTATAGATAGGGTGAGGAGCTCTGTCACCCGGGAGGAGCTGAGGAGCTCGGAGTGGAGCCGCTGCTCCTCCACATTGAGAGAAGTCAGCTGAGGTGGCTGTGGCATCTGTTTCAGATGCCAATTGGACGCCTACCAAGGGAGGTATTTCAAGCTTGCGCCCCCAGGAGGAGGCCTCCTTAATACATGCTGGAGGGATCATGTGTCTCTCGACTAGCCTGGGAACACCTTGAGATACGAGTAGAAGGAAGTGTAGCGTTCCCTCCTGAGACTTTTGCCCCCGCGGCCAGTCCCCGCATAAGCGGAAGAAAATGAATGAATGAATGAAATATGGTCAATTTGAATTCTTTTAGTGCTCAGACAACAAAACAAGGCAATCTGACCTCGTCCTCTGAGCTGACCAGTCGTGAGGTCACTCCAGTGGTGTAGATTCCTCCGCTGCCGTCTTCGTGGATCTTAATATTGGACTTCCGGCCTCGAGCCTCAGGATCACGCGTGCTGTCAAACAGGTCCAGGATCTCCTCATTGTAGAGCTGCAGGACAAACACACACACACACACACACACACACACACACACACACACACACACACACACACACAGAGAGGGCCAGAAATCAGCATATTTGACCTCTGATTCCCACAGACCACACAAGCTGAGTCATGAGAAATAATAATAACTTTATAAAGCTCATGACAAAAACAGACAAGAGATAGTTCACCCAAAACTGAAAATTCTGTCATCATTAGCCATGTTTCAGTCCACATATTTTTTTGTGGATTTTGAGATATTCCATTAAAAAAATGCTTCAATGGAAAGATTTGTGTGGAGTTTGCATGTTCTCCCTGCCTTCGCGTGTATTTCCTCCAGGTGCTCCGGTTTCCCCCACAGTCCAAAGACATGCTGTACAGGTGAATTGGATAGGCTAATTTTTCTGTAGTGTATGAGTGTGTGTGTGAATATGTGTGTGGATGTTACCCAGAGATGTGCTGCAGCTGGAAGGGCATCCGCTGCGTAAAAACTTGCTGAATAAGTTGGCGGTTCATTCCGCCACGTTTCAGTTCACCTATTTTTATGCATATTTTGGTATATCCCATAAAAATACCTTACTGAAAATGGAAAGACGCAAATACATTTAGAAAATGCGCATGAGAAATAATAATAACTTATTAACTGAAAATTCTGTCATCATTAGCCACGTTTCAATCTACCCATTTTATGCAAATTTTGGAATATTCCATTTTTAAAAATGCTTAAATGGAAAAGTCTGCATACATTTTGAAAACGCACATAATAACTGGATGGAAACACATTGATTGAAGCATCTTCTGAGGCACATGTCATTTATGACATGAAGAAAAAAGGCCCACAGTGGCTTCTCTTACCACAATGCATTATTATTTTTGATATTTGGCGCCAGTTTTTCAGAAAGTGATGATTTAGATTTTGTTGAATGGAAACAGTGCTATATTCATTCATTTTCTTGTCTGCTTAGTCCCTTTATTATTCCGGGGTCGCCACAGTGGAGTGAACCGCCAACTTATCCAGCAAGTTTTTACGCAGCGGATGCCCTTCCAGCCGCAACCCATCTCTGGGAAAAGTGCTATATTCATAAATGGTATATGCTATATTCCACTTATGCACCTTAATGAATTAAAAATTTGCATATTTGGAGGGAAACATAGCCACTGTAGTTACCCTTTACTGGTCACAAACCTGTATATTTGGTGCCGTGAGCACTATGATGCTTTATGTCGCCGCACTTAACCACTAGGCTATTGGTGCCGATGGTCACAAACCTGTTTGAGTTTCAAGAATACATTACCGGTAACCATTGACCTACACAGTATTTGTTTTTCCCACTATGAAAGTCAATGGTTACCCGTTTCCAACTTTCTTCAAAATATCTTATTTTAATAACTCCAAAAGGTTTTGACAAGATGAAGGGGAATAAAAGGTGAGTAAATTTATTTTTGGGTGAACTATCCCTTTAAGGAAGTGACTTGATAAAAATCAATGAAGAGTTCAAAACAATAAATCAAGCCGCTAACATAGAAAAAACAATGTACAGAGCGCAGAGTGGAGTTCTGGAAAGGAGGAGAGTAATGAAATCAGGGGGTTTTAATGGTGTATTACAGGCGCCCCAGGAGACGGCGTCCGCTCACCACCACACAACTGCAGACAAATCTGTGGCGTTATTCACTAGTGCTGAGCAAACAGCAGCCGCTGCCAGACAGAGAGCAGCACGGGTCATTAAAAAAGCCTGTTACAGGTTTAAACTCATTACCGCAGCCTGGACTTCACACGAGCACGGGGGTAATCTGTTTACGGGACACTGCTGTCTGCACAGCCTGAGCGAGAGCCTGTCCTGTATGGAGTCAGATCAGTCTCAGAAATAATACAGTTCCAAAATAAAATTCATGCACTGTTCACATTTACAACATTTCATTCGTAAATTTATAAATATGCAAATCCAATTCGTAAATTGCAATTACAATTTTTAAATGCACAAAACAAGGCACGGTGGCTCAGTGGTTAACACTGTCACCTTACAGCAAGAAGGTGCTGGTTCGAGTCCAGGTTGGGTTAGTAGGCATTTCTGTGTGGACTTTGCATGTTCTTCCCGTGTTGGTGTGGGCTTCCTCCGGGTGCTCCGGATTTACCCATAGTCTAAACACATGCGCTATAGAGGAATTGATGAACCAAACTGGCCTTTGAATATAAGTGTGTGTGTGTGTGTGTGTGTGATTGTGAATGTGAAAGTGTACGGGTGTTTCCCAGTACTGAGTTGCGACTGGAAGGACATCAGCTGCATAAAACATATGATGATATGGCTGTATTATAAAAGCCTCGTTCGTTTCCCATTTCTTAGGGGTGAATTTTGAAGGCCTTTACACTCTGTTTCAAGGGCCAAGGCGAAAAAGAAGAGGTAAAAAAATAGATTGGGATTGAGTCTAACAGCATTGCTATTGTTACTGGAGCTGATAACATAATAACCCCAAAAAAAGATGAGCGATCCTGTCCAAATCAGCTCCAGATTAAAAAGGCAGATCCCAGCATTTAGGATTTATCGTTGTTTCGTCAGTAGAACTTTTACACATTGAAACGATATCACCCACCCACATCTCAAATGTTCAATTTCACAGTAAAACTACAGCATTACTTCAAAAATAGGCAGCATGGTATGATAGTCATGTTGTAGCCTCACCTCCAGGAACTGTGCGCTGACTTTGAAATCTGGCGGAGGGATGTCTGCGCTCTGAGCCTCTAGTCTGCGTTTCTGGATGCCCTGAAAGAGCTGGTGTACGGCCCGCGGGATGATCCCCTGCTCGTCCTCCGACACGCTCACGTCAAAACCAGTGCCCATGGTGTACGTCTTTCCTGAGCCTGTCTGCAATGTGAACAAGACAAGGAAAACAAAGTTTTTTAGGCCCTGTACTCACATTATTAAATTGCATTTCTGGGTTTGCTAGCCGTTACCTGTCCGTAAGCGAAGACGGTAGCGTTGTATCCCTCAAAGCAGCCCTCGATGAGCTTGTGAACGCAGGCGCTGTAGATCTGCTGCTGATGAGCATCCAGGTCAAACACAAAGTCATACGTGAAGGCTTTATCTTTACCCAAGAGCACCTGCGGCTCGCCGGGAGTGACGGAGGTGCAGATGTGGCATCCCTCGATCTTCTCCTTCGCCATCTGAGGACGGATCCTGGAAAGATAACAGCAATAAATCAGATAAATAATATATAAACAACTTATTAGTTAAATAAAGGCCATATGGGGCATCCTAGTCATGTGGGAACTGACATCTCTGAGAATCTAAATCTGCCACAGTCAAAGTATGAGTAAAAAGTAGCCCTTTTAATAGCACTCGAGTATTACACTGCGAAAGATTGATGTTTTACGTGCAATTTGTGTGAAACGTAACATTCTGTAGTGCATTTAGTTATTGTTTAAGGCCATTTCATTCTTCATACAGTAAACTGACATGCACATGAATAGTCTCTCTGTCATCGCATGTAAACATTCTTGAGGTTGTTTTGTATGATACGATTTCCTTCTATGTTCAATTTCATTGGGCGGGAGTCACAGGACTGATTTTTCTACTTTAGCCGATCACCATAGACAAAACAAAAATACAGTAGTGACTGCAAGGGAAAAAAAGTGGAGGAAAAAGTGATAATACAGCATAAAAATGTATTCAGGTGAAAGTAAAAGTTCAGATTTTTAAAACAATGATTGCAGTCATTTGA